AAAAAAAAAAAAAATAGTAGTTAATAGTAGCCATTCTGCCTGCAGGTAAACCATGAATCTGCTACAGGGAAACTCCTTTTGCAAGTTTGGTAAACCTCTAGATGTGTGTTTTCTCATCTGAAAATGGGAGAAATAATACTATATCCTTCATAGGATTGTAGTGAAGATGAAATGTGTTAACATCAAGTACCTGGCAGATAACAAGCACCCAAATATTAGCTGCCACCACTATCATCATTGTTACCACCTCTTTTATTTCATCAGATCTTTATTTATGGGTATATGGGTTTTCTTTCCTTTATACTGTTAGAAACAATGCTTCAGGGGATAACCTAGTATATTTATTGTTTTGCACATGTGTTTATGGATGTTTGCTACAAGTACAATCTCAAGATCAAAGAGTATATAAATAATTTTGGTAGACATTTGCCAAATTGCATACTGTAGAAGTTGTACCAAATTTTGCTTTCACTAGCAATTTAACATAATTTAAATTATCAAGAACTTGATGGTAGTTTTTCTGATGTTACTTCTAATTAGGGAATTATTCATAGTTAGAAATGGCAATTTCAAAATTCTTCCTTGATCTTCATTAGAAGTACTATCCTGTCAGGAGGGCCTGATCAAACAACCTTTTATGTTTTAATATAAATTATATATGTTGGTAGCTTATTCTTTCAGGATTCTCACAGATAAAATAACTTGTCAATGCTTCAGAGAGTAGAAGTTGTTCTCTTTTTTTCCATTCTTTATTTTCAGATATTTATGTTTCTGTGAATCTGGATTATTTCCTATCTTTAATTTGCCTTTATTATCCATAATCTTAACATAAACTTCTGTTAGAAATATGCATCTTTAAGAAGCAAAATTTCAAAAGTGAACTAAGATGAGCATTAGCTATTTATCTTAAGTACTGGTCTTGAGTTACAGCAAGATTTTTTCCTTTTGATTTTGCCTTTGTCAAAGAAAGCTTAATGGGAAGAGAGAGGAAATGAAGATGTTAGGCATGTTTCAAGCAATTGGAGGAATGCAAAGATTAATAAGTGGTAGTCTCTGCCAAACTTTTCTTTTGTGGGAGAGCTAGATGGAGGCTACAGGATAATATTTCCAGGTTAGAAAATGTAAGAATGGGACAAAGAAGCATACATTGGACAAAACTTTGGAAATGATGTGTGTCTACTCAGGTAAATGGAGTGAAAGGAAGTGAAATATATCAAAATAAATTGTTACAGAATACAGTATGAAAATGTAGTGCTTAGGAATCAATATAATGAATAAATGCTTTAAATAGAATAGACAGAAGAAAACTAATATTACTGAGGACTGAGATGATATTGATTTATATTGAGTACAGGTCTTGTTATCATTATCTGATGGTATAGACAGAACGCTTACCTTCAGACCAAACACAAAAGATGTTCTGGATCTGTAACACTTTAATATATAATTCCAATTTTAAGTCATTAAAAAAGGCTGATTTTTAACCATACTGGCTCTTGCAGCATTATAGTCAATAGAATTTATGTGTGTGTATATGAACAGAAACATGTTCTTCTCTTGTTTAATAATTTAAAAATCTAATTTTACTTCTTTTGTTTAATATGAATGTAATTTTACTTACCAAGGGTGCTGTGAACCTCTCTGAAATTATATGCTTTTAATCTATGGGAATCTCTTTCAAAGTGATAAAATAGTTCATGACCCAAAAATGGTTAAATACCATTGGTTTCTATTGTTAAACAGTTTTGTTTAATTTAGGTGATTTTAGGAATATTTACTAGATAGTTAACTTTTACTGGAGATAATTTAAAATTAGCAATTAAATACAGATTTCTTGTTTATTTAATTTTTTAAAATGCTCCCAGAATGAAAGCTATATTGTAGCGCATAAACAACCTATCTTCAATGCTGCTTTTGACATTAAAAATATAAAATCTTCCCATTTTGTTTAAGAAGTTACGTGTTTGGGAGGAATTTTTTAAAAATGTTTTGTCTTTTCCTCCATCTCCCAACCTGAACTTTCTGATCTCTACAGTTGGATATAGGGGATACCTGTTGTTGATACTTAATGAATTCAGGGTACTGAAAATGAAGGACAGCACTATGTATCAAGTAACTAAATTATGCCTGAACATGGTTCTGATTAAAAGGGAAGGTATCATTTTTTCTGTTTTAAAGATCAGTAAATATTAAGTTGAATTAAGTTTAATATACTAGATATACCAGTGTAGCTTTTGTTGTGACTCTGAATGGATACTACGCTTTTGTGACTTTCAGTAGCTGTTCTACTGTCCATGCTCTTTCCTATGAGTACAATACCTTCCTCTCTTACATTCCTAAATGCAATATGAATTGGAGCTGGTAATCACTGGCAAGGAGCCTGTTGTAGGTTATACAGTAATTATTTTCCCACTGATTGAGTCTTAATCTTGTGATTTTTAACTTGAGTATTTTGCATTTTTACAGGTGAAACTGGACCTTATTTAATTATTAGTCCAGGATTCTCTGTACCCAAGGTTAATTTTTGAACTTTATTTCAGTTCCTTTATGTTGATTTTTAATGCAAATATTTTTAAAATCACTGGTATAAGTGATAAAATTTATGTGAACATATTTGAGACAAAAATAACTAAGACAAAAGTATGAAGAATAAGATGACAAAGGGTTTTTTGACTGTTGATGATTATGTAGACGTTACTAAGTGACTTTTCATGTTTAGAGAAAATAGATTTAACTGATGTGTTATTAGATTAAGGGACATTTTGTTTTAATTTATAAAAAAATATTCTGATGATAAGGAATATCAGAAAGAGCCATATGAGAAATAAATTCTTTATCTTTGGAGATTTTTAAGACTGTGGCAACCAGCTGTATGTCTAGATAACACCAGTGTATATTTAATCAGTTTTTAGGGCCCTCCTTATAATATAAATTCAATGTTTTATGTCTTTGTCTTCTTCCCTGACACTCCTCTGAGTATTTTTCCTTATACTTATTTAATTTACAGGCTATTCAGGTTTTCTTAATGTCTAAAGAACTTTGAAGTACCTAAACAAGAGGTTTCTTTATAATAGATGATATAATGAGGAGGAAAGAGAAACTCAAAAAGTTTATATAACTTTTAAAACAATGGTCAGATGTAATTTAATGTTAAGTATGAGATACAAAAAGATTAACTGTAAAATCTGTTGTTCCACAGGTACTGTGAGAATAGAGATGTTTCGAAATATGCAGAATGCAGAAATCATCAGAAAAATGACTGAAGAATTTGATGAGGTATGGCATTTCAATATTTATACAAATTGCCTACTTGTACTTTTACATGGTGAATATGTTGATTATTTCCAGTTTTGTTTTGATTTGGTGTTAGTGTAAGGAAAGATGTACTATTTTTTATTTATATAATAATCCATGCTACTAATTCCCATATTAATGATCTTCAGGGATTTGGTTATGTTGTGTGGAGGTAGCATTGAATAATGACAAATGACTGATAAGGATAAGAAAATTAGCAGGATGAGGTAGAAGCTGATTCTTGACATTTATTGAAGACCTTCTCAAATTTCCAAATTTATAAATGCATCTCCAGCAGTTTTCTGTTCTGTGGAATGCTAGTTGCATTAAATGCTTTAAAGGAAAAAGGGTTTGGAGGTCAAAGAAATCTAAGCAGGGCTGCATATTATGTGTCTTAGAGATTATCAAAGCACATTATCTTATTTAAGGTTCTTAGAAATCCTAATGAAGAAAAACCTGCTTAACTTTATATAACCCAGAATTTCCCCAAATTATTTTACAAGGACCTCCCCTTCTCCCCCTGTGTGTTGTGTGTGTGTGTGTGTGTGTGTGTGTGTGTGTGAGAGAGAGAGAGAGAGAGAGAGAAACTTCTGTCTGTGGTTTGGGACACTCTACTTGAGAGTATTCTAATTTCTATTTAGAATATATGTTTTCTTTTTCTTTTTGCTTGTCTTCCCAAATTGATCACCTTTCCTATTTTCACAGAAATATTCTCTAGAGCAGTTTCACACTGATTGTAAATGCTAAAACATTTTCACAGTTTTATTTCTGTATTGTATTTATGGTAAACTGAATTCATGTCATGCTGTAGGCCACCACTAATTCCAGTTTTAACATTCTGCCTTTTAATTTAAATAA